AACTAATGACTGTGTAGTATCACCAGATTATTCAGATTTTACATAGAATCTTACAGTGCGTCTAATAATTTGGCCAGAGACTGTAACGTTATAAGATTTTAAATTGAAGTATGATGTAGTTTAAAATGAACAACGGTATCGTGCAGATAAATTAAATATAGTCATTCAAATATTTAAAGAAAGCGCCCAACATTTTACTAGGAGCTTGTGAGTAGAGGACATTGTGTTGCTTACTGAAAACGGTGAAAAATATTACGTACATGTTACGGTGAATGACCAAAATCAGGAGAATGTCGACTTTCTTCAGTGAATGTCAGCATAGTCGCTTTTGTGAATGTCCGACTTATCTGGTATATCCGATTTCATATTAATTTATTGCTTGATATAATTATATTTATTCAATATTTTAATGTCTGCTGAGGATATATTAGGAGAAACATCAGTGTTCGGAGCACCACTTAGATGCATACTTGGCAGTGGCACTTGACCTAAAAAAACATTGATGTAAGGCATACCGGGCAAAGAAATACCGGTCAGTGGCACTTAACTAGACCATATATATATATATATATATTTAGGACAAAAATAGCTTCATTATGGGAAATTCTAACTATCAGGAGTTGGCCTCGAACAAGAGCAGTATACCAAATGATACTGCATACAGTTACTTTTCATTTTGATGAAATGAAGAGATGAAGCACTTAAACCGAGTTTGTTTTTTAATATAATAACGTAAAGTCACCGGGAAGGTAAAAAAATAAATAAATGATAAATAAATGAATAACTGAAATTCTTTTAGCTTCATTAATTGTGTTGGTATATACCTTTAAATGTAGTGCATGATATTACAGTGTTGTTCAGTACTGAGTTACTGAATACTGTACTTTTTTACACTTCGTACAAAGAACGCGTGTTCACCGAGTATTAATAATGTATAATATTCCAATGAAGTACATATTTTCATATATATATTCTCAGATATATATACTCTCATATATATATTCTCAGATATATATACTCTCATATATTCTCAGATACATATTCTTGGATATATATTATTTTGCAACTATATAATATTACTAATAATAAATACTATATCTACTTCCATATTCTGAAAGAGTATCTAAAAATACTACTAGACTCTAATAGAATATATTCTGCTTAGATATATTATATTTAGTAAACGAAAATGAGGAAGTTGAGATTGTGTTAGATAATACTGGGAAAAGCACCACATGTAAAAAATTTATCTATTTCTACGGATGTATGAATAATTTATCAAAATCGCAGTGATTTCCACGAAATCTCCTTCGGGTAAGTAAAATTTGATATATTTGCCGAGTTATATCCAATTTTATATCTGGAAAAATGTATATTTTGAAACTAAATATGGAAGTGTGTTCATTTATATAACTTTAAATTACCATTAAAAAGTTGAACTCATTAAGTGTATTAACTAATTCGTGGTGTTGTTTTTCTTCGTGAGTGGTTTTAATAATATAAAATCTCTAATATATTTTTTCGTGAATGGTTTTAAAAATACGAAACTCTAAGCTTCACTACTTGATTGAAAACTTCATTTGCACAAATTAGAAATAACAGTCGACATGTTTCAAGCTCTTCAAAATAAGCATACAAAGAAAGCCAATTTTTGAGTAATTGAGACACGTCGACTGTTATTTCCAATTTGTATATATTTCAGTTTGTAATTAAGTAAATCACTTCAATTTCCTGGGATTATTTATGTAACACTATAAGTTCTTAGAAGTTATTTTCTTTTATGTTTTATTAGTAACAATCAAATTGCCAGATATAAAAGACAAAGTGACTAATTTCAGTTATTTAAATCACGAAATTTAATCGCTTAATTTTAAAATAAAAATAAATGTTTAAGAGAATTTGGATAAAATTTTAAATAGTGAGAGCAAAATCAATGAAAACTGATATACGCATTAACTGATTGCTAACAAATAAGTAATGCAATTTTTTTATAAAAATGCCAACGATAAGTAATAAAAATATATGAGAGATATTATGTACCATGTACCTCTCCTATATTTTAAATTTATATTTACTATTGAAAATATAAATTCATAAAATGTGTGTTTAAAAGCCATCTTTCTTCTTAGTAATATACGTGACGGTAGACTGAAATTTTTAAAATTTACACCATTAATGCTGTGAATTTAGCTGGTTACTTTTTCTTTCTTTCTGGTTATTGTTAAGGCTCCGTCGTAACATGAAAAGATGTTTTTTTTGCGAATAATATGCTATTAACTAACTGCTGTTTGTTTGTAACTGTTACTCATGGCTATTAGGTCAAGTTTAGCCTATCTTTGCGTTTTTTGAAAATGGCGCAAAACGTCAATGGATGGTGTTTTCTACACTAGGGAGCGCTGCAAGCTCGGGACTGCCTAAATTTCCGGGTTACTGTTTCAGTTGTATTTTAAAGCCATTTGGCATCATTGTGTTTTGAGAGGAAAATGGAAAACTGAAAT